CTGATTCGCTCTAGTATAGGCATGGATTCGATTTCCACAGCCACGGACTTTGGGAAGGGGGTAACATACTTTGATGCCTATCAAATTGGATAGAGGTGTGTTCATATTCGATCAAATTATAAATAGATCAAACTAGCTAGAATCAGCCCTAACAACATTGCACGAAAGTAAGATTTGCATTCCTCGTACTGCAATAAGAAGTTCATCAAAGTTCATAGTTTGTCAAGATCAAAAGAGTGTTAGCTGTACACGAGATTATCCATCTGAATTGTAATTGGATAATGATTATCTCAGCCCTCACTGAACCTCATCATTATCTCATTAACTCTTGTAACCCTCACTGAACCTCATCATTATCTCATTATCTCTTGTAACCTCCATCATTATCTCTTGTAATCATTGTGTATATATACACCAAATGGATACAATCAGATCATTAGTTTTTGATCCCCAAATCATCCTAGTTCTATCTTGGTATCCGAGCTGAAAGCCCCATGGCCTCATCCTCTTCCTCAACCCAAACCTTCTCCCTCTCATTAGCTATTTCTCCCTTAGAAAATCTATCCAACCTCATTTTGATAAAGCTCAATAAACACAACTTTCTGTTCTGGAAAGCTCAATGTGAGCCATTGCTCGATGGCTTTGGATTGATGGGATATCTCAATGGCTCCAATAGATGTCCTGAACGCACAATCACCATAGAAAAAGATGGCGTAAGGACTTCAGCCATGAATCTAGATTATGTTCAGTGGCAAACTCATGATAAGTTGCTGTTGAGCTGGTTACTAGCAACTCTATCTAAGAGTGCTCTTGCTCAAGTAGTAGGTTGCAGATCTTGTCATGAAGCCTGGAGCAGTCTCCACCGTGTGTATGCTTCTACCTCAATGGCTCACATCATGCAACTAAAAAATGATTTGCATCATATATAGAAGGGGTCAAAGCCAATGTCAGAATACCTGTAGAAAATCAAAATGCTCACAGATTTTCTTTCTGTTGTTGGACAAACACTATCCACTGAAGATATCATTTTATACACTACTGGAGGACTAGGACCTAACTACGACTTCCTAGTAACAGCCATCACTACTCGTGCTGATCCCGTCTCCCTTGAAGAACTCCATGGTTTGCTCCTTCAACACGAATGGTGACTAGAATGACATTGCACTTCATCAAAATTCAACATGGCCGCTAGTGTTGCCACACATCGTCCCTCCAACAAACCTTCTTAAAATAACAACTCTCCAAACAAGGGACATGGTGGTGCTCCATCCCGAGGAGGTAGAAGTGGCGGTCGTGGTCATGGTAGCCATCCCTCTTCTCAGTCACAACCTAAGATCACTTGTTAGGTCTGTGGCCGCTTGAGTCATTCTGCTTTCTCATGCTATTACCGATTTGATCTTACTTATCAAGTTTCTAATTCTCTGCCACAATCCAAAGCTTTGATTGCTTCAAATACATAAGATTTTTCTGACACTAACTGGTACCCCGACACTGGAGCCACAAACCATCTGACATCAAACCTCAACAATCTTTCTCTTCATTCTGAATATCAAGGCAATGATAAGGTCACAGAAGTGGACAGTACAGGTTTGCATATACAACATATTGGAAGTTCACTCTGACATTCCAATTCTCATACTTTCAAATTGAATAGACTCTTACATGTGCCTGAGATTAAACATAATTTACGCAATTTTGTGAAGACAATGACGTCTCATTTGAATTTGATGCTTTTGGTTTTACCATGAAGGACAAACAGCTGGGGACACCTCTTCTCACTGGACCAATTAAAGATGGTCTTTATCACTTATCTACTACCACTAATAAAGCTCAAAATAAGGGACCAATGGCCTTGGTAGGAGTTCGAACGATTGCAAATAGTTTGAATCGGAGACTAGGACATCCACACGTCTATTTGGTGCATGATATACTTCAACGTCATCTGCAACCTATCACTACCAAACCCACATTTAGTTTCTGTTCTTCTTGTTCTAAAGGAAAACATCATCGTCTTCCTTATGTTCCTTCTACAAGTGTCATTTCTGAACCACTTCAGTTAATTTATTCAGATTTGTAGGGCCCTACCCCTATTGCTTCTACTAATGGTCACCATATTATATCTCATTCATAGATGCACATAGTAGATATACATGGATATACCCCTTATACCTGAAATCTGAGGCACTCCATACCTTCATTTTATTTCGCACAATGGTTGAAATACAATTCGATAGACCCATTAAAATGTTTCAATCCGATGAAGGGGGTGAATTTCTAAAATTCAAATCCTACCTCAAAATTTCAGGTATCATCCAACGATTCAGTTGCCCTCACTCTCATGCCAAAAATGGTGTTGTGGAACGAAAACCCTGACACATTGTTGGCATCGGGCTGACCCTTCTTGCTCAAGCAAACCTACCTTGTTCCTTTTGGTTGGAAGCCTTTACCACCGCCGTCTCCCTGATCAATTGACTCCCATCACGGAATGTCGGCCATGCGTCCCCACTTGAGCTCTTATTTGGTAAGTCCCCAGATTACTGTTTACTAAGAGTTTTCGGTTGTGATTGCTATCCAAATCTCAAGCCTTACAACAAAGAGAAATTCAATTTTTGATCAGAATTGTGCACCTTTATTGGCTATACAGATGATCATAAGGGCTATATCACTGTCTTCATGTTCCCACTCGCTGCATTTACACTTCTAGAGATGTGTTGTTTCATGAAAATTCATTCTCCTATGCAAGATTGGCATCCTCCCCAAAGGTGGAACAACGACCATCCCCATCATTATTGGGCCCTCCTCCGATAGTCCGTCATGCCTCGGCACCTCACCATGACAGTAATGATGCTACTGATAATCGCTCCACTGATCTGTCTTCGTTGGTTTCTCCTCCATCTGGTGCTGAATTGCCATCTCCATCTCATACAGAATCTGGTTTTCCTTCTAGTCCATCATCTTTAACTCATGAGGTTATTGCAACACTCTCTCAGCCACCTCTTCATTACGAGTCCACTGCCACATCATCCCATGCCACGTAGACCAGATCCAAATCTGGTATTTATCGCCCAAATCTGAAATATGCTATGTTTTCTCATACGATGGACGATGATGAACCTACATCATATACATAGGCAGCAAGAGATCCTCAATGGCATGGAGCTATGAATGCTGAATTTGATGTCTTCTGCAAAATAATACATGGTCTTTGGTTCCTCTTCCATCTAACAAACAAGCTATTGGCTGCCACTGGGTTTACAATATCAAACACAAGTCTAATGGGTCTATTGAGCACTTCAAGGCGTGCCTTGTTGCTAAAGGCTATCACCAATAGGAAGGCATTGATTTTGAAGACACCTTTAGTCCAGTTGTTAAACCAATCACTGTGCACTTAATCCTTGCCATGGTTGTTTCTCTCTCTTGGACCACTCGTCAATTGGATGTAAGTAATGCTTTCCTCCATGGTCTCCTTGACGAAGAAGTCTACATGGTCCAACCGCTGGATTTTGCTTATTCTTCATATCCAAATCATGTGTGTAAGCTTCATCGCTCTCTCTATGGCCTTCGCCAATCTCCAAGAGCCTGGTTTACAACATTGCGAGATTCTCTTCTTGCTCAGGGATTCACAGAATCGAAAGCTGAGGCTTCGCTCTTCATATATCACTCTCATTCTGGTGTATGTGGACGACATCATCATTAATGGTTCCAATGCTTCAATGATTCAGTCCATTATTGATCGCCTCTCCAATGAATTTTCTTTACGTGATCTCGGCCCACTTTACTTCTTTCTTGGCATTCAATGTACATAGACATCTACTAATCTTCATCTTTCTTAATCTCAATATGCTTATGAGATTCTAAAGTGCACAAAGATGACCGAAGCCAAGCCATGTTCCACACCGATGGCCATTAGTACCAAGCTTGTTGCAGATCCTTCCTCACCCTTTGAGGATCCCTCTCTGCTTTGTAGCACTGTAGGTGCCCTTCAATATCTTACAGTGACACGACCTGATTTAGCGTACTCCATGAACAAAGTATTTCAATTTATGTCTCAGCCGTCTGTATCTCATTGGGTCGCTGTTAAGCGCATCCTGCGCTACGTCAAACACACCCTTCATTTGGGTCTCACTATTACCAAGAGTTCATCCTTTCAATTACATGGTTTTAGTGACTCCAGCTGGGCTGGTTGCCCTGACGATCGGCATTCTCGTGGCGGGTATTGCATCTACTATGGACCTAACTTGGTGTCTTGGGCATCCAAGAAGCAGCCAACGGTTTCCCGCTCTAGTACAGAGGCAAAATACTGCTCTCTTGCTCATCTTGCTGCGGAACTAACTTGGCTTCAGATGTTACTTCAAGGGTTGGACATGCCTCCCTCCTCTCCTCCCATCATGTGGTGTGACAATACCAGAGCTACATACCTTGCCTCTAACCCCGCTCACCATGCCCGCAGCAAACACATTGCATTAGATTATCATTTTGTACGAGACTAGGTCCAACAAAAGCAACTTCAAGTGTGTTTTTTGTCCACTATCGATCAGACAACAGATATTTTCACCAAACGTCTTCATGTTAATCGGTTCAGTTCTCTTCGTGACAAGATCACTGTAGCTCCCCCAGTTTCGCTTGAGGGGGGTGTTAGCTGTACACGAGATTATCCGAGTTGTAATTGGATAATGATTATCTCAGTAATGAATTTGTTAATGGATTATGCCTAGACTATATCTTTACCAAAATTTGTTAATGGGTAATGCCTAACAAAATTTGTTAATAAAAACTTTAAATGCCTAGACAATATATCTTTACCAAACTTGTTTAATTAATAACCAAAAAAAAAAAAAACTTTGAAGAATTAAGTGGTACATTGCATTGCTAATATATTATAGTCCAAGACAAGGAAAGATAAATTGCAGAATGCCAAACACCACCCCGGATGGTAACATATAAACCAACGCCACTTCACAGTTCACATGGTCTAATATATTGATCATGACGTATCCTGCTTCTTGGCAATATCTTCATACTTGTTGGACAAATTGAATATGGAGGAGTGCATAACAAGTATTGTCAAAACATCTCTACTAATAAATTTATAAATGGCCTATTATTTGTTTTAGAGATGTGTAAGTACCTACGACTACAACTAACAGACCAATTAATATAATCCCCATTATAAAGACAAACTCATACCCCCATCTCCGATAATTGCCAGATATCTTTAGGTAACACAAGCATGGCAGTATAATTGAAGCTGTGACACTTAGAAATGCTCCAACCAGGGCCATCAAATACCCGAAAAATGGAACCATTAAGGCCACAATTGCGGTGCTCATCAACAACATAGTCCTTACCAGGAGGTTAATGCATCTGCTCTTGTAAGCATATGGCAGAGAATTCTCCACAGCTTCCCTTATAGGAGTAATCACTAATGCATATTTTGTAATGGGATTGAGGAGAGTGGTATATATTGCTATCTTTGAGCTAAGCTTTTCGTTTGGTAGGTTCAGTGTGACTTGAGATGCTACATTTGATCCATACATGAGATACCCCAAAACAGCGATTGATGCATAACCAATCGTAGAGAGAATAAAGCAGAGCACCATCACCTGCAATAGGGAGAAGGAAGATAAAATTCAGAAATGATCAATGTTTTCGCTGCTCTGAAATCTTCTGGACCCAATTGGTTTTAGTTTACCTTAGAGAATTGATGCTTGTGTCTCATAGAAGTATATAAGGTAGGAAACATTGGATGTGCACAATAACAGAAAGCATATAAACTAACAGCAGTGGGGATTCCACTCAAATTTAGAAGCCTTCCCTTTTCATGAAATCCTACTCCATCAATTGCACCGACCCAGGCAACAGAGCCAATGACAATAGCTGATGCCAAGACCCCACCGGCAGAGATGTATGAAAGAATGCTCAAGTCTTCTAACCACACTGAAGGCAAAATTATGAGGGCAACGATTATAACAAAACTTTGTCTTCCACCAATTATTCTTAATCCCGCAACTTGTAATAATATTTCTGGAAACATATTGTGTAAGTTGTCTCCTTCTAGAATCAAGAATCCTGTTGCAACCAAATACAACTCCAGATACATGAAAATTGAGATCACCATTCTTCCCTGGTGACCAAATGCACGCTCGCCAATGTCAGAATAAGTTTTGATATGTGAATCTACACCCATGCATCTTTTAAGCAGCAACCCTGTGTAGAATGTTGCACTTGCAATAGCAAAAAGAAGTATCAAGCTCAACCACCCTCCCTCTGATAGTGCATATGGAATTGATAGTATCCCAAGTCCTAAGAAAGGAATAACAAGGTGATCCACTTTATTTATATCTTTGACAGATAAAAAGAAAAAAATAAAAAAACTAATGCCTATTTGCCTAACCAGCAATTCTAGCAGGCCAACTCTATTTTAGACATACATTTTTGTTCTCTTGTTAGAAGATTCTAAATAAACAACATCTATCTACTTGCGAATTGCGATGTCCAAAAAAGTTAAGAGTTGAAGAAGAAAAAGGTATAATTACAAAAGTATCAAAAGGCTTTTAAAACACTAGGATGTAATCTCGTGAATCCCGCAACAAACGAACAGTGCTCACTGTTCGTCTTTTCCTGCCTTTCCTTCGACCACCGCACTAAATTTCCCTCTTTTTTAAGGCAAAAATATCTTAAAACTTTAGTTAATTTGATTCATTTTACTCTTATGCTTACTACTGTAATATCTTTTTACGTATCCCTACTTTAATACTTGGGAAAAAGAAGAGTGACGAATTAACCTGTCTTAGGTGGTGTGAATCGATAAGTGAGAGTTCCAATTCAGAGAATAAGACTTTCAAATAAGAACCATCCCTCCATCAGCTATTCCCCTAAAGCCTTCAATATGGCAGATACTATGTTCGAAGACCCCTTCCCCTTTACATGGAGTTCAAGCTACCATTGGAGAGGAGGTACAAGGAGCACAACATGGTGGTCCACGGGTGGACAGATTTGATCTATGACAAACCAAGTTGGACGAGCCTAAACATGGGCGTCTTCCTCATCGAACAAGCTCTTCCCGAAAAACATCCACTTTGATGGATTTGATGGACTCTCTTCCTCCGGATGAAAATCAGAATGGCTCCCTATTTTGCTTTTAGATCTATCTCCAGCTTCCCCTCCCCTTCTTACCATCCTTCAGAAACGACTCCATCACCTTCACAGCATGTCGCCTTCTCAACCCCCGTATCTCTTTCTCCATTCCTACATACTTATCGGTTATGTCGTTCAAATATCTAACACCTAAATCACTCAAATTTCATCAATTAATTATAGACGGCATCTGATGACAAACAACAAATGGGCTGGCAAAGGGAATGCTAAATATTGGTTTTAGATACACATGTTGGAATAAAAACAACCACTGCAACAGCCTTTAGGTGAGCTTCAAAGGATGCGCACCTTTACATTTTTACTTCAAATTGGGGATGAACAAGTAAGGGAACGACTGGTAGACCTGTTCGTGGGCCCTGCCCAGCCCGACTTTTTATATAATTTCTAAACCCTAAGTCCCTAACTCGATTAACCCTTTCCCTCCTTCATCAATACTTCTCAGTCACTCTTAGAGTCTCAATCTATCTATAGCTCAATCGCCACCAACGAGCTAGCAATCTCTGACAAGTCAACGTCAAGCATAAGCTAGCAACGACAGGTGGCAACCTTTTTTTTGACTTTATCTTCTCCGGAGAACTCAGGCACCGGCGCCACCAACAAACTAGCAATCTCCGACAAGTCAATGCCGAGCATAAGCTAGCAGTGGAAGGCTTCAGCAATCTCGTCATTTTTATCATTCTCCGGCAACGACGAACTAGGCTAGTAAGGGTAGCCAGCGATGGCGAGTGACCAAGTCCTCTCTGTCTCTCTCTCTCTCTCTCTCTCTCTCTCTCCCGTGTGTGTGTCTTCCTCCCTCCTCTGAAACGCTGGATCTGAAAATTGGGTGGTGATTCTTACCTGACTTACAGAAGAAAAATAAATGGTAATATTGGGTTTTAAAAAAAATTTATACGTCACGTGGTGTTACATATGTACGGATTTTGACGGAATATTTATGTACGCTAACGACAAGGTAGAGCTAGTCAATTATTAGAAACAATAGGGGTGATTTAAGACAATAGTTAAACAATAAGAATAGAGTTTGTCAATTAACTAAAAAACAGGGATAATTTAAAAAATTTACCCCTTGTTTTGGTAGAAAACTTTCTTCTGCTCTCTCTTACTTTATCCTCTCTTTCTTCTCCCTCACATCTTTTCTTTTGGAGTTGGGGGTTTCAGGGCATGTTATAACCAACCGGTGACCCTATGTTCATGCCATAATAAGCGACTGTGGTGGCAGCAGATGTGCTGCCATCCTGTACTTACACACTCGAAGGTGCATTCCTTGGGATACTTTTTTTTTTTGATAAATGATTGATTCGCCACCAGATCCCAAAATGGTTTATCATAGCTCCTAAATCACAAGAAGAAAAGTTACAACACATTTTGTAAAATTTCTTTAGGCTCAATTTGAAAGGAATAATATATACAAAATAATATAAATTAGAAGGTTTTGCAGTCTACATATTTGTATTGATATTCATTCTAAACTGAAGTTTAGGCTCAGTTTGGAAGGAGTAGAAATACAAATTTATAGAATACAAAACCTTATATTTTGTATGTATTTGCAGTGCACATATTTGTATTTGTACTCTCTCTAAACTGAGCCTTAGGAACTTTCCCTCACTTATTTCTTTCTCTCTTAATTTCTATCAAACTGAACACAGTACGAGGGAAAATATCAGCCAAAGCTCTTAATCTCGCACTTGCACAAGAATTCCAGGTCTCATTTTGCCCTTCAACTAGATCCGAGGTATTTTTGGTCAAAGAGCTGTGTGATGCGACGAGATTAATGGTGATGATGGTGTGTGCCACAAATTCAGCACATGATCGATGTACCAGAAAACAACTAATTCAAAGATGAAAACAGGAGAAGAAAGAAGAAGAACCTGACAAAGCGTTGAGGCCATTGAGGCAAGTCTTGAAGTAGGAAGTTGTGCCTGTAGCTTTGTGGTGGTGGTGAGTGTACTTCTGCTCCGCATGATGAGCTTCATCACCCACATCGTGATCGTTCTGGAGTTGTTCTTTGTCGGGCAACAAGGGTATGGAAAGAGAGAACTCATGACCACCAGCAGGCTGAACTCCTCCCATCTTCATCAGGAACAGAGAACAGGAACAATATTGGGAGTCTTCAATTTGAAAGCAAAACTATTTGGGGTGGTGGGTGGTGCTTTTTATTTTTATTAGTCAACCGTGGTAGAGCCATCGTCTTAGATCTACCTAAATAAAGGAGGCTGCGCGGAAAACTGTACTTTTATACTTTATTTAAAAGGACTATAAAGACTGTTCGAACTCGACCCTTCTGAATACGGCAATGTTTTCTTTCACCCGAAAGGTAAAACTATAATTTTAAATTCTTTTTTTTTGTTTTTTATAAAATTTGTATTATTTTTATTAAAATCAGCCTAAAAATAACTGCATGATTATTTTAGGACTCTTATTAGAAAATTTGAGCTGTGCCAAAAGATACTACAAGGAAAGTGATTGCAATTAAACAATTAAATTTGAGGGGAGATTTTAGTAAGCCAGAAAATTCAGGGACCAAGTGGAAACCGGATTCAGTCTGTTCGAATACCCATTATAGCCTTGCATTGAGAATATCTCCCATGAAATAAAGCACAGAAGTGTGGAGATATTCCTAATGCAAGGCTGTAAAAACTGTTTGAACGTTGTACGAACGGGCCTTGTACTGACTGAAGCCAATCTCAACCAAGTATACAATCATTGGCTTGTTCCAACTCATCACATCACGTGAATGAGTTCCGAGATTTATGTAGACATGCCATATGTCTAGATTATTTTTGAATTCATCTTCAGTCAATGCAAAGCCCGTTCAAACAGGCTTTACAGCCTTGTATTAGGAACATCTCCTTATTTCTGTATTTTATTTCATAGGGAGATTTTACCAATGTAAGGTTGCAAGAGGATGCATGAACGGTGTGATCACATACCTGCATTGGCTGAATCCAATCTCATTATTTTTTCTCACAAAATTAGTCCTTGCACAGTTGCACTCCCCTCATTGGCTTCACAAGCGTGCATCGGAAACATTTTCCTAGGCCCGTCTTTTATTTCTTTTTTTAAATAATTATTAACCTCCTTACATTTTTTTTTAATTTTCACTTGTTTATTGAGAGAGGAATGTCTACATTAATTATATACGGAAGGAGTATTGTGGTTAGCTGTTCCTAATACACAACCTCAACTTCTATAAAAGCAAGTTAAAAAACTCAAAGGGGTAATTGATGGTTGAAATATGTAGGAAATTAAGGGGGTGTTTTGTAATATGGATGAGAAATTGGGTGGTGTGAACCGGTCCATACCACACCCTGTATCAAAGACCAATCCACACTACACCATAATTCATAATGGTTCTGAACTGTGGACAAACTGTGTGGACTGCTCCAGTCCACACCCATAGTGGCGTTCTGTAGGCGTGGTGTAGACCAGTCCATGCCACACTTTTTGATTCCAAGTATCTCATATACAGTTCATGAAGTAATCTACACAAGCGCTCATAAATGTCTAACTTTTATAATTTATACGATAAACAACTAAAAAACATTAATTTTGACAAAAATGGTAATAAAATAATTTAAAAAATATTTTTTTATTGATAAAAATGTTTAAAAAATAATATTTAAACAAATAAAATAAAAAATTATTGCAAGATAAGTATAGCATCAAACTATTTATACAAACTAAAAATCCATTGGTTCCCATACTAGTTGTAAGACAAGCATAGCATCAAAATATTGGTCAAATGGCTTCTTGAAATGGTGTATGGATAAACCACCAATATTACAATTAGTACTTAAGCAAAAATAATAGGATGTGTTGAGGACCACCACGCAATCAAGGGTCGTGAGCTGTCACAAGTATAAAGAAACATTTCAATGAAATGATGTCTCTATATTGTCTTAGAGTCTTCCTGTAAGTGGGATAATGGGTGGTTTTCCCATCATAAACCAGCCACAGCTATAGTAATTGGTGAAAATAATTATCTTTAGAGATGATGGGTCATTGTCTGATTGCCCAAATTTCTGCAATGCAGTTGTAAGTGTTTCTAATAGAAGGGTAGATGCACAGATGGATATCTAAGGATACCTCCTGCCATAAAACCCAAGGGTACTAGAGCAGAGCAAGCACTATCAGTTTATTTAATTGGACATGGATGGTGATTCTCTTTTCTATTACTGGTAGAATAATTTCTAAATTGGCCAAAAGCTATTAGATTCTTTGTTTAGATCAATTAGGCTCATGTAGTCTATTTCCTACCTCGTTTCTGTCAATGGGTGGATAATGTAGCTAACCTAAATCATCCATGAGATGTTTCAAAGAAATTTCATATAAAAGCATTTTTCTTTCCAAGACTTCTTAAACCAAGGCCATCTTTCAGATCAAATTAAGTCCTAACCACCCAAGGTTGCTTTTTCCTCCTAACCAAAAGCACTATCTAACAACTAGTGTGAGTCGTTCTTTGTCAATGCCGAGCTTTTCGAATGCATCTTCAAACAATACGTCGACAGAACTCCCTGTGTCGATTAGAATCCGCCGTAGTTCAAAGTTGGTCACTTTGGCTGTGATGACCAAGGCATCGTCGTGCGGTGTCTGGACCCCTCGGAGGTCGTTGTTAGTGAAGGTGATAGATGTGTCGCGCCTCCTCCTGTGACCTCGGTCGTCGATCTCACACAGTCGAGCATATCTTTTCCGTCTCGAGCTACTTTCCTCTCCGGAAGCGATTCCTCCTGATATCACGTGGATGACGCCGGCTAGGGGGCCTCGGGGCAGGGGTTGCCGAGCTTAGTCCGCTCTTCATTTCTCTTGGGCAGACTTCTCCTTTCTGTCTATGAAACCACTGAGATAATTGAGCCTAGTTCGATCTTCGATATGGTTGTGTAGGTCGAAACAGTTCTTCGTATTATGGTCGTGGTCCTTGTGGAACGTGCAATATTTGTCTCGGTTCCTCTTGTTACTTTGCGTCTTCATCTTCTCGGGCCACCTGACATAGTTGCGATTGCGGATTTGCATCAGAATTTCAGACTGCAGAATATTAAGTGGCGTGAAATTCTGATATGTCGACGAAGGGGTGCGAGGTCTATGGTCGGTCCGACGATCTTGTCTCTTGTGGTCTTTGTCCGACCTCTCAGACTTCCACTCGTCGTTCTCTCTCCTTTTTCTGTCGGGCTTCTCATCCTCGTCTTTGAGTTGCGCCTGGGCCTCTTCAGTATTGATTTAAGTCCCTGAGTTGGAGTGCTTCTTTGTTGAACCTCGCCAGGTAATCTCTAAGGGACTCCTTCTTTCTCTATCAAACCTACATAAGGCTGGCCGAGGTTTTCCAATGCTTTTGACTAGCTGTGAAATGTGCTAGGAAC